GCTGAGCCAGCACCTCCTGCAACCCCTGGGCACTGGAAGGAGGGAGGGTTCTGCAGCGGCCCGGCGGGCAGCGGTGGCAGGGACAGTTCTGCGGTGGCCCGGCGGACACCGGAGGGAGGGAGGGTTCTGTGGCGGCCCGGCAGGCAGCGGAGGGGCGGGCCCCACTGATCCGAGCACCATTTGCACTGTGCCGAGCCCCGCTGCAATGCTGACCCCACGCAGAGGTTGCAGATCCCAGCCAGTGTTGCCTGTGTCGGTCCCCGTGGAGCCTGCCCGGCTGGGAGAGGCATCCCAAGGCCGGCGCGGGGAGCCCCTCGCCTGGCTGCCCATGGGTGGAGGGAGCGGGCGGATGCCGCTCTTCACCCCCCTGCAAGCTGCCTTGACAGCCCCCCATGCGCTTCCTGCAGCTGCCGTGTTGGTTTTTTTGCTCCGGCAGTCCGACCGCTGTTGTTTTTTGCCTGGGAGGGCAAAAAAGCTAGAGCCGGCCCTGACTGTGTCACCAATTCTTGGGATTTTATCATAAGTTTATGCTATTTGGTGTTTTTCTTAAAGCCCTAGCTACTAGAGTCCTGTGATTAAGTGAGAATTTCATTTTCTTTAACATTCATAGCCCTCATAGTTGCAAGGCAAAGCTGGAAAATGTGACCAAAGTGCACATTAAAGGCTTCAAAAACAAAACAAAACAAAAAACCCCAAAGCCCACACACCACAGAAGGCAATACAAAAAGAACCCAATTAAAAAACCAACCAACCAACCCTGGATTTTTAAGCCACTATCGTGGGGTCTTGGGGACATTTGGGGTTGGTAACAATGGAAAGGATTTGGCTTCCAGCAGCATCACGAGGACACATCAACTCTTAGTTATTCTCTAGAGGGTAGGATAGAAAAAACCCTCCATTTTGCTCGTCAGTAAGGGGAGCTCAGATGACATGAAGCATCTGACTCCATAGAGGGCCCCCCCCCACACAGCTGTCCTAGTTACCATAAGCACTGGTCAGAAAAAGACGCCAGTCCCTGAGGAGGGGGTGGAGCATGGGCAGGAAGAGAAGGAGCGAGAACAGGGCCTCGGGGGAAGAGAATAAGCAGGAGCGGGGTGTCAGGGCGAAGCTGGGTGGAGCACCCACCAGGAAAACCAAAAGTCAGCCCTGTGTGTACATGTACCCAGCATGTTCTCTGTTCAGCATCAGACCTGTCTGCTCAGGGGAATCAACTGCTGCTGGAATGCCCCCTTCCCCCACCTCACGGCACCTGCTTCCATTGCCTTTCACCAAACTGAAAGTAGCTCTATGAAAGTTGCCAATATTGGGTGCAGGTCATCCCTCTGAAACCCATGCCATGACACCAGTTGCAATGCAGGCCAGATAATAAAATGAGGAGCATGGCTTCCCGGAACTACGTGGATTGTAGAAATGGGTTTAGATCTTTCCACCCATAATCCCCAGTGAGTGCAGACAGGTTCTCCCACAATACCCAGTGAATGTAGTCCTAGAGTGGTGTGGTTTGCAGTCATGCTATGAACCATGGGATACCTTCTTCCAGAAGTGAGGTTCTTACCCACGAAAGCTTATGCTCCCAATACTTCTGTTAGTCTCAAAGGTGCCACAGGACCCTCTGTTGCTTCTTCCAGAAGTCATTGCATCTAACGTGAGTCAAGTGCAGTGCAGTGCTGTGCCGGGCGTGACAGCATCCTGTGACACACAATTGTTAGTTCACAGTGTGGTCACATCAGCCTGAATCAAGAAAAGTAAATTGAAATGGACTCAATTGGTGTGAGCCTATAGTGTAGCCACACACTAATATTATTAAACCTAGAAAGGGTCTGAAGAGGCAGGATTCATATCAGGATTAGGTTATGTCTACACTACAGCCTACGTTGGCAAAACTTATGTCGCTCAGGGGTGTGAATATTCCACCCCCCCTGAGTGACATTAGTTCCACTGACTGAAGCGTTCACGTGCACAGTGTTATGCTGGCGGGAGAGCTTCTCCCACTGACATAGCTTATGCCGCTCACAGAAGTGGTTTTATTATGCCCACAGGAGAGCTCTCTCCAGTCAGCATAGAGCGTTTCCACCACTCGTGCTGCAGCAGCGCAGCCGTACCGGCACTGAGACAGCATGAGCTGGCATAAATCCCCCATGCCCCAGGCAATTCAGAGCCAATATAACTGTGGGAGAGCGAGCTGGATTCTGCTCTGATTACAGCTAGATTCTGATCCCAGAATCTTTTTGTGTTATGGTCTCCGAGTAGGAACGGGGCTTGGTTTTTCAGATTTCAGGAAGAGCTGTAGTGCTGGCAGTTTAAAAATAAAGAAAAGAAAAAAGGAGTTTGATGTGTAAATTAAAAGCATGTGACCAGGAAACCAGTGAGAAAATAAACACGGGACAGACTTCTTTTTGTTACACATTTTTAATTCCACTTATTATGCACAGCATATTGCAGCAGGTAAGGGAAGTTCCCCTGCATAATGGCTAGTCTTGCCTACCCTATCAGGGATGCTAGACACAACACAGCAGGTTAAGGACAGCACTTCAGCCTTAATTTTGATTTTCCCTGACTTCTTTTTGCCAGAGCTGGACACCTAGGTCTGATCTTGGTAAGTGCCTAATGGCCACATGTTCCATTAACCAGGATGGGATTTAAAGACGCTCAGTACCTCCGGAGTATGAAGAGCACCTATTAGGATCCGTCCTTGGGGGCAACATTTCAGTGCTGTGCATGGTTGATTAGCCACACAACTCATTATTGGCAAAGGCAGTTGCATGCATAACCCCCCCAGGCATGGTGCTAGAGATATGCTCTTTAGGGTTTTTTGGCTCTGATATACAATAACACAACACAGAGCCTTTGTTATGTTCCCAGCTCAGCTACTGTATTAATAAACCACAACTTCTTAAAAAGGCCACTTTCTGTGTGGTTCTTCTGCCGTGTTACAAAAAAGTGTCTCTCTATATACATCACAAAAGTTGCAGAGTCGTTATCATTCAAACCTCAAATTCTGAAACACAAAACAAAACTCCACCTTTCTGTATTAACTGCATCCCATACTTCTTGGGAGATTCCTTAATTTCAAAACAAGACTCGCTGTGGGGATTAAAAGGCCCAGCTAATGTGGATACCGGGCATGTCAGGTCAGGAGTGGTTCTGAGAGGAAAGCCCATGAATAGCTGGCTTTCCCACGCCCACCGTGAACGTGGCAGCATGCACCCAGCCTCCCCACCAAAGAGCTCTGCTTTAGCAACACCAGGTAGAACACACCATCAGCTCACATGCATCGATTTAATATAGTGGTTGTGAACTGAAGTAACCATTCACCATTCTCCTAGCTTGCAGTGCCAGTGCTTTGTCAATGACTTAGAAAAGCCTTTACTTACATTATAACAGAGCAGCTTCATCCATCGTACTTAAATTATAGATTAACATCGTATGAAGCAGCTATCTCAGAGCTTAACCTCTTTACTACTTAAGCTATTTTCCAGACCTCATGTTTTATTATACCAGAGCCTGGATATTTCAACCCCCCTAAGTGCATGTTCCCTTTGGGATAAAGGTAGCAAGTTGAATATTAAATATTCTAAGTACACTCTGTATTTTTCCCATTGTTATCAAGGTTTTGAGCATACCTAGTGACATGGGAAAAATACTTCTCTTCCTCAAACATTAAGCAAAGGGCAATTTTAAATGAGGCAGCTGCAGTTTAGCATATTGATTTGGAGTCTGAGAGTCAGGACCCATGGAGCCTATTCTCCACTTTACTACTGACTAACTATTTGACCTCAGCCAAGTCACTTAACCTATCTATCCCTCAGTTTCCTCATCTGTAAAATGGGGACAGTGATACCCACCTCCTTTGTAAAGTGCTTTGAAATCCAGTGGTGAAAAGAGCAATGTGTTATTAATCCATATTTATTATTACAACAAAATCTATTAACATTTTTCTTGCTGTGTATTTTCTTCTAATTTTGCCTCTGTATGTCTGAATATTGATTCATCTTAACAGCTTTTTAGCTTCTAGATGTGTATTTTTAATTCCTGTATGTCTTTCCTTGTGCCTTATTCTTATTAATTTACACTCTGACATCTAAGAGTAATTGTTTTTTTGTATACCCTGGAGAAGTTCAAATACCCTAGCTACCAATACCCAAAATATTATAATATGTAGAGGGTGAACTGTGAATAGTAAAATGTATAATTTAAAACCTTATGAAAAGTTTATTAAAGAAACTATAGCAGGATTTTAAATGACAATAATCACAAGCACACAGCTATGAGGGAGTCCCATTGTCTGTAATACGTATTACTCAGCACTGGAGAGCGCTAGTATTTTCCCAATCGTATGCTGGAGGTAATCTGCTGTCTGTAGAGTCTGGTGATCTTCAACGTCACATGTTTCTTAAAGGAACATATTTTTAGTTCCCAGAGGAGGATCTCAAGCGGACTCCAGCTTGCATCCACAGTGCTAGATGCATGTAAGCATGCTCTGCTCCCTGTGCAAGTGACCTTTTGTATTTTCAGTTGCCCTCCCTGCTAGTCAGCCCATGAGGAGGACCAGTATCCCTAGTTCAGAATTTGCCACGCATTAACGGAGACCATTGGAAAATGCAATTCCCACCAGGCTGGTCTGGAAAATTAAATTGCAGGACATGTATTGTTTGAAAAAAGAAGTGTGATCACATGGAAGTGGAAATCTCATGGAAAGCAAAGCACTGGACTCTTTCTAGCAGTCCCAGTTGAAGATGCCCTGTCTCACCTGGAGACAGTACCACGGATTGCCAAACTGCCCTGGTTTATTTGATTCACACATATGGACATCATGGAGCCAGGCTCTTTCTCAGTGGTGGCAGATGACAGAACAAGGAGCAATGGTCTCAAGTTGCAGTGGCAGAGGTCTAGGTTGGATATTAGGAAACACTATTTCACTAGGAGGGTGGTGAAGCACTGGAATGGGTTACCTAGGGAGGTGGTGGAATCTCCATCCTGAGAGGTTTTTAAGGCCCAGCTTGACAAAGCCCTGGCTGGGATGATTTAGTTGGGGATTGGTCCTGCTTTGAGCATGGGGTTGGACTAGATGACCTCCTGAGGTCCCTTCCAACCCTAATCTTCTATGATTCTATGATCAGAGTTATGGTCTAAGCCATGGCCCATGTATGATGACCAGACGTCCTGATAAAATCAGGACTGTCCCGATATTTAGCTGTTTGTCCCGCATCCCGACCGATGTACGGTCGGGACGCCATTTGTCCCGATATTTTGGCTCGGGGCTGGAGGAGTACACTGGTGAGCGCTCACCTGGGGTCCTGGCGGTGCTTATTTGGGGCAGCTCCCAGGAAACGGTGGGCTGCAGGACCCTGCAGCCCCTAGGCACAGAGGTGGCCGGGGGTGGTCTCTGCGTGCTGCACCTACCACAAGTGCTGGCTCCATTGCAGCCAATGGGAGCAGCAAGCACGGACAGGGTGCAGACCCCCCCGGCTGCCCCTGACCCTGGGGCGCTGCATGCTACTCATGCCCCCAAGTAAGTCCCACCCCCACAGCTTCCAGTGCCTGTGGCTCCCCCCGCCCCCCATGTGTCCCAATATTTTGTTCTTGTCATCTGGTTAGCCTAGGCCCATGGGTTGCAACAGTGATGCTACCCAAAAGTCTTTGTTCCAAAACTGTAGACCTCTGAACTAGAGGACTTTCTCTCTATCACTATATGCTGGGCTTTTAGTTGTGGGCATGCTACCAGTAAGCACTGGTATACAGACACTTAGGCTATGTCTATACTAGCACTTTTGTCAGTAAATCTTTTGTCAGTCAGGGGTGTGGAAAAAACACACCCCTGAGCGACATAAGTTTCACCGACAGAAGCGCCGGTGTGGATAGCGCTATGGTGGTGGGAGACCATAGCACTTGGGGGGAGGGATAGCTCAGTGGTTTGAGCATTGGCCTGCTAAACCCAGGGTTGTGAGCTCAATCCTTGAGGGGGGCCATTTAGGGATTTGGGGCAAAAATCAGTCTGGGGATTGGTCCTGCTTTGAGCAGGGGGTTGGACTAGATGACCTCCTGAGGTCCCTTCCAACCCTGATATTCTATGATTCTATGACAGTCTCCCACTGACAGAGCTACTGTCACGTGGGTGAGCTCTCTCCCATTGGCAATAGAGCAGCTACACGGGAGACGTTACAGCAGCACAGCTGTATGGTACATCTGTGCTGCTGTAAGGTCCCTAGTGTAGGCATAGCCTTAGTAATACATTATGAATCATGTTGAGCTCTTTCCATATTGCATAGGTTGATGGCAGATGTTCCCTTTAGTGCTCTGTTTCCATCATTCAGTGATCAAACATTTTTCTTCCCCTAGAGGTGTTATGTCCACAAAGCACACCTGTTAAGGTTTATATTTAAAGCCTCAGGTTGCACGCAAGGCAGCAACGCCAAACTGGCATCTGGCACTGAATCCATCCAAGGAACGTGCCTGTGCAATTTTTATTTCTTCAGAACAGAGGACAGACTTGCACAACCCCCTAAACTAACATTTCTTTACAAACTGCATCCCAAAATGATTAACTTTTGAATTAACTGATAATAGCAAGGGAGAGAGAAATTAAGAAGTACAGTCCTAACTGGCCCTTTAAAAGTCCACCTGGAGATTGCCTGCCCTACTTCTTTAACAAAAAGAGAGACGCACCCTGCAGGACAGGAGAAACAGTAAAAGGGCAGGACTGTATATGCAAAGGGAAGTGAGGGGGGAAGAAGTGTCACATTGTATTATATAATTTACCCAATGGTTTATGATAAACTTTGCATTACTCCAATCTCTTTCACTCCTTATTTCGTTTGCTGTCTTCCTAATTGGAGAAGATAAAAGAATGCAACCACCATTGCATTTAGCACTTACTACTTGTTTCAGATGCCTGAAACCTTGTTAGCTACTTATTTGCAATAAGCCAGATACTGACCAAGGCTAAGGTCTGGTCTATGTTGCAGACCTATAAGTGGTATAACTATGTTGCTCAGGGGTGTGAAAAATCCACATCCCTGAGCGACATAGTTATACTGACCTAACCCCTTGTGTAGACAGCGCTATGTTATCAGGAGACCTTCTCCTGCCACCATAGCTACTTCCTCTTGGGGAGGTGGATTAACTACGGTGATGGGAGAGCTCTCTCCCATCAGCAAAGAGTGTCTTCATTAAAGCGCTTCAGCGGTGCAGCTGCACCCAGGCAGTGTTTTAAATGTTGACTTGCTGTAAGTAGTGTCTGTTTGCTCCTGTCTGTGTTTCTGAGGATAGTCTTCCTTTAGGACTTTCCAACAAGAATTTCTATTGCTATCACTTTCCTCCTGTGATGATTGTCCCTAGTTATTGGCTTTGTAGAAATGCCTGAGAGACACAGTCTTCAACCAGGGCCCCATTGTGCTAGGTGCTGTACAAACACAGAGCAAAAAGATGCTTCCCACCCCAAAGGGCTTACAAGCTAAGTATAAGACAAGAGACAACAGATGGATACAATCAGACAGGAGAATGTGAGGAAACAATGAGACAATATTGGTCAGCATGACAGGCAGAGGGCTCAGCACCCCAGCTGTCAAGTTTTTTATAGGCATCACAGCAATGGAGAATTACACACAGAAGGGGCCTGAATGATTTAATGTGGGCAGGGGGCTGGAGGAAGACAATTCCAAACACTCCTCACCCCAGGCCAGAACACAATTAAAGTATGCATGTTCAGGAAACAAGGGGGCCGATCTAGGCTAACATGACCCTATCATTGAGAGAGGCGTTACGTCTGTCCTCCTCTCTTACTTCAGTGTTCTTCATTTCCTTTTAGCAGGATCTTTGCCACGAGGAGGAACTTCCAATTCAGCAAGTAACTGAAGTATGTGCCTAATGTTAAGGAATAGGATTTACTGGCGCTAAGCATGTTGTTAATTACCTTGCTGAATCAGTGCCTCAAAGGTAACAGCAGGGCTCCCCTCCCCGTTCCCCTTTATATCCCGTTAATTAAAAATGGATGAGAAAAAAAAATAGCAACAACACTAAATCCTCTAAAGCACATGGATGGCTCAGTCCCACCCACTCACCTACTGTGGAAGCTATACAAGTGCCCTAGCAAGTTTGCAGACCGGTAAACAGATCGCTCCCACAAGCCTGACTGAGCTGGCCCGGTGGTGTAGTTCGTGTTCTTGGAAGGGGAGCACCCATTTTTCTACTAAATAATCACAAAAAGCAAGCCAGGGCAAGAGCTGGATCCAAGCATTTGCAGAGCTTGTTGGGCCATCTTAATTGGCACCGTGCTGCTCAGTGCGTCTGTGTTTGCAGAAAATAATTCCTCTAAATAATTTCCTTTACTTGAAAATTCCTTAATTCTTGGCTGTATCCTACTTGCTAATCTACATGAATCTTCTTAAGTTAGGCTCATCTCAACCTGTATTTTATTGTTACTAGACCAGCATAGTCTTTACACTACACATTACATATATAATTACAGGTGTAACCGGTAGCACCATTTATTATTAAGGTTGCCTGACACTCCCCATTATAAGACCCTGTTTTCAGTTGCTTATAGAACTTTGCCAAATTTTAATTGTTTGGGCTGAAATCTCCCATGCTGGGTGTCTGCCTTAGGCTATTATTAATTATTATTGACATTTCAGTCCCATTCTGCCATTTCTAAGAATGGGACTAGAGAAAAATGTTTTTTTGCTGGTGTTAAATTCTGGTGATTTTTCTTTGTGAAGTTCTAGAACCCTCATGCTTCGGCAGAGGGATTTAAAATTTGGCAGGGCGGTGGTCTTTGTGTCAGGAATGTGCCTTTATCATCCCTGTAAAAATCTGCCCAAAGTTGTCAGAGTTATAAGCTCTGAAAAACTGCAGACTGCGCTTATGCAGAAGAGTTTCTAGAGTTTCACAGCTAAAAGTCTCTGAAGATTCCATCCACATGAAGCACCATCCAGCCTTGGGCTGCAGGAACTGAGCTGGACTGTCCCTGTAATTGCATTTTTGGACTGCTGCAGGCTGAATTAAGGCCAGGCAGCCCAATTGAAAGCAGAGACACATGTCGGTCCTGTGTTCTCACAATCACCAGCTGCTGCCAAGGCACTGAGGAAGCTGGCCTGTTTGAATTCTGAGGGGACAAGAGCCAGACCTGGGGCAGAGAGAGGATTGGGATGGGTGGGAGGGAGACTGGGAACTAGAAGCAGGCAAGGAGAATGGGACAGTGAACCAGTGCTACAGGAAAAAGAAAGACCGGGGTGGGGGTGGGGAGAGGAGAGAACTAGGACTGGTTAGGCAAAGAGTCTGGGACAAGGGACTTGGAGAGGGAAACAGACTTAAATGAGAAGCCTGAGGAGTGGAAACTGGGATGGCATAGGCAAGGAGACTAGCCAAAACAGGAATGGGACAGGGTGGAAGGGGTAGAGAAGAAGGGGATCAAGCTTGGGGGAAAGTGGGCACATACAAAAAATCTATACCGACTGAAACACACTTCCCTCCAGAGCCTAGAACGGAACTCAAGATTCAGGAGTCTCACCCTTCCTCTACTCTCAGCAAATATCTGTGAACTGCAGTTGGAAAGTGTCTCATCCCCCCTGGTAGTGCTGGTCCAAAGAGAGGATAACAACCTACTACTGCTATCAGTTATTCCCTTACCTGAAGTGGCAGATCTAAAGATTTGAACCCTGTGGATGACCCATCTGAGTGTCAATATGATGCTACAGAATGGAATTTTTGTCCTCCCCACACATGTGCATTTCTAAAAAGCTTGGGAATTATACCAAAATTTATATTAAAAGATTAATGTTACAAAATCAAGCATTCAAAAGTTAAGAAATGCCAGAATAATGGGTGTTGCTGGATTTCCTAATTACTGGATGATGTGTTTTTGGGTGTAATATGTAAAGACAAGGTCCCTGCCTCAAGGAAATTGATAATCCAAGTAAGAGGCTGGAGAGAGAGGCCATTTAGAACTCTGCCTGCCTCCAATTTATAATAAATTATTCTTCATTATTTGTATTACACCAATGCCCAAGAGCCACAGCAGAGATTGGGGTCCCATTGTGCTAGGCACGGTACAAGCAAAGCAACACAAAGGCTATAGCTACAACACACAGTTTACAGTAGCGCAGCTGCACTGATGCAGCCAACATAGTGCTGTCCACACCAGCGCTTAGGTGTAATTTAAGTCGCTCAGGGTGGTGGCTTAGTCACACCCCGTAGCAACACAATGTATACTGACGTAAACTGTAGTGTGTACATAGCCAAACACAACACTCTGAAGGGCTTAAACAGACAAGCAAAGACACAGAGAGGGGAAGTGACTTAAATCAGAGAGAGCTGGGATTAGAATCCACATCTTGAGGCAGACAGATTAAGTGTTTTGCCCTAAATCTCACAGGGAGTCTGTGACAGAGCCTGGAAGAAACCCAAGGCTCCTGGCTCCCCATCCCATGTTTTAACTACAAGCCCATCCTCCCCTCTTCTCTGTATTTATATTTTGGCAAGTTGAGGGTGGATAGTCTGAAGATAAAATTAAGTTATATTTTGGGTTGACAGCCTTCCTTTATAATATGGAATTGCCCGTACTTTTTTTTAAAAAATCCTGTTTCTCCCTTATTTTCATAGTCAGATTAATAGCCACTGAACCTAAACCCAGGCAGAGCTAGCAAAATGCCACTTATTACACTCCCTACTGGCACACTCTGATCACAAAGCACCTAACTCTAATTCCAGGTGCTCTCCTTCTGCCTGACCAAAGGGAGGGGGTTAGTGGCACAGAAAGGTGGCCAACTTCCATTTCCATGGATACACAAGTCAACAGCTGAATATTTTGAACCCTACTCCTACCCCCTTCCTTAATTTTAATTCCCAGGCAGTTTCCATGGAAATTTGATCACTGGAAAAGAAGGTAATAAACGCTGACTGATTTAAAAACCTATTACACTTACCTGACTTTTGCCAACTTAACTGTTTCTATAGAAACAGGAACTGGCCATCTAGCAGTCCCAGAGTACGAATTCATGCTTGTCAAGTCCACTTAAAGTACACCTTTGAAACAGCTCCATAGCAGGCTACTAATGACTGTGTTGCCTAAAGGGTTTTAAATTGAACAAAAACAAAGAAAAGTACTTTCACTAAATTCCTCACACCACCACCAGTTAGGCCTAGTCCAAACTTAAGTTTTACTTTTGACAGACTATTTTGGTTTGGGATGCGATTTTTTTTAACCAATGTAGTTATGCCATTAAAAGTCATAATGTGGACAGTTATACTAGTATAGTTACCCCCGTTCCTATACAGGAAGGGGAATAAACTATACCTGTATAAGACACCTTTATATTGGTGTAACTGTGTCCACACTGGGGGGTTATTTATTTACACTTTAACTATACCAGTATAATTAAAGCTTTACAACTTCCAGCATAGAAAAGCCCCAATTACATCCCAACCCAGTTGCCTAAACTTCCAGCTTCCCATTGCCACCTTCTCCAATGTCTGTACAGACATCTGCAGCACACAGGGGCATTGCTGAATTCAAAAAAATCAGCATAAATACATAATGGATATTATCCTAAATGGATTATTCACTTTTACATGTAAAAAAACAAAACAAAAACAAAAACAAACCTCCATTAAAGCTGCTACAGAATTTACATGATGCCACATTGGACAACTGCAGAGATCAGGTGGAAAGAAGAGGGCCCTACTGTGGACTACGTGGGGCTTTGATAACCATCTGCTTGCTTGACAGGGTGTGGTGCAGATTCATTCATTATGGAATGTAAAGTATATTGAGGTTCCTGGATGGAAGGTATAGCAGGGCAAGTTACTAAAACAAAACCAGAACCAGTGCACCAATGGATCTCACCCTGAAGTTCATGAAACTTAGGGCTTGTCTGCACGTGCAGTGGTGCAGTGGCACCAAAGTAGCTGCACCACTGTAGCACTTTAGTGAAGATGCTACTACGTCAACGGGGGAGAGCTTCTCCCATCGGTGTAGTTAATCCACCTCCCAGAGAGACGGTAGCTATGTCGACGGGAGGGCTGCCTACACCAGGGGTGAGGTCAGAACAACTACCTCGTTCAGCTGTGTGAATACTGCACACCCCAAGCTATGTAATTATACCAATATAAATTTGTAGTGTAGACCTGGCCTCAGCTTCTGAGCCCAATCCTTTTTCCCCCTCCCCCGCAAGGCTCAGCTGCTTGCAGAATTCCTCCCCAATGACTGCTCAGCCCACACCCTCAGTTCTCTCACCCCAGATAACCAATTCCACTTCCCTTTTACCCTGGCAGCAAAGTCCAATACATTTCTCAGCAAGTCAGCAGTACTCATTTAATCCTTTATCAGCAGAATTAACATCTGCTAACGCAATGGGATGGTTTAAAAAAAAAAACCCACAAAAACAAACAAACAAACAAAAAAACAAATGGCCAGCTTAGGTCTCTAAGGGAGAGGTGGCCAGTTACTAGCATTTGTCATGCCTAACACTTGTCCACTAAAAAAAGTGGACTACGGATCCCCAGTCACACTCTTCCCAAAAACGACCCCCATTTGCTCTGAAAACTCATTTCACCTAGGCCATTTAATAACCTAGGTGAAATGACTATTAAATATTCAGTTACTACTAAGGGGGAATTCAGATTCTAAGCCAGGAACTGACGTCCATATACCTTCTATTCTTCCATGGGCAGCCTCTATTTTTTAAAACTGAACCTCTTCAAATTGATTAGTATCAGAGCTGAAAACAAACACAAAATGCCCTTCCCCCTTTGGGGCTTAGATCAGACAAATTTATTTTAGTGGACCAGCTGTAATCAAGCCCGACTTTTTTCCTACTTGATTGAATCATGACCTGGACTCCACTCCCTGCCTTCTTTTATTATAAGAATGTCTCCCGGAAGTTCTGGTTCTTTTTTAACCCCCTATCCAATCTCCTTGTGAATAAATACATCCTTTCTGCACCTGTCTGGACACATGCTGAGGTCTGGGGACAGGGTATATAATGTGGAGCAAAAAACCAAGTAGTAATAATGCAAGGAATAGCAACAGCCAACTGGGAAATTGGCAGTCAAGATCCACAGGAGGCGGGGAAATAGATGAAGTAGTGAGTCAAACATAACTTTGCACTCAGGACACATGCACCATCTAAAGCGGATTTTTCTATAGACGTCTGAATGCTAATGCCACATGTTTCATCATGCCTTTCTATTTGCCTATATCCCACTTCAGCTACATTTCAAAACGAGGCGTATAATGTAACACCAAACCAAGACATGCACACACCACTTGCTGGCTCTCCAAGTACATATATCTGGTTTATTTTTCTCTGCTATGCTGATCTGCTAAATGTAGCTCTGGGGAGATTGCTATTTCAAGTGGGAGACAGAGGAACGAGGCAAGCAGCACTTTTTACTCATTTCAAGTTAAAGACACATTCCTCCATTAATGGAACAGATTAGTTAGAGCAAGCCTCAAGGAACCAGTCCTGTAGGTTTAAATGCTGAGCAGTACTGGGCGTTGAACCTGGGCATACATCTGAGTTTTAATTATTCTTGGTCAGATGTCCTACCCATTAGCTTAGTCAATGCTCGCTTTCTTTCATTCAATGTCATTCCACAAATTTCAGTCCCCATCCAAGCACAAAGAGGTGATACTGGCCTTCCTAACTGTGGCAGGGATGCAGAGCAAGCAAAGAGAGGGGAGATGAGACTGGTGCAATTCCCTGACTTCCCATGGTTTTGGCATGCTCTTTTCCATGAACTTTTGTTTCCTGGATCAGTATTTGTCATGTTGAGAGCTATTTACAGAAAAAATGAAGTAATGGCTGATTTGTGAGAACAGGAGCTTAATTTGGGTCCAAATTAATCAACAAGAACTTGCATTAATATCTGGAGGGATCCAAACACGCTTTACAAGCAATGGGCTAGGTTGTTCCTTATGGGGAGGTAGGAGGAGGTAAGTATGCTCTTAGGAGACACATTACCCTTGTCTCCTAGCTAGCTGCTGCTCCCAAAACCCCCCTTGAGTTGGACATGCAAACTGGGGAAATGCGCATAAGATCATGCTGGCACTGATGGAATGAAGGCTACATACAGTGCATGCCAGGTATCAGAAAGTGCCTTCCACTGGTCTTTACAACACACGTTTAAAAAGGGAGACAGATCTACTTAGAGAACATGTATTCGAAAGCATATCAGTCACATGGAGAGAGGTCACAACACTACCGTCTTTAAGCCCAGATGAGACTACTACTATAACCAGTGGTCTCGTTAGTAGCAACTTAGGGCTGTTAGAGCACATGCACATAGAGGTGCCATTAGGCTGTACCACTTGGAAGTACTATGGTTGGAGAAAGAGAAGCATATCAGGAAGAACCGTGATTGTATTCAGAATGTTCACTTCTTCAGGTAGCTTGCACCTAGCAGACTGTGATATTTGGATACTGTACAACAACTTTCACTGTGTAATGATCCCTGTATATTTTAATTCCTGGAGTAGCAGAAATCAGCATGGGCTTTAAAGCAAAGCGTGAGGCGTGTATTTTTTCGAGGAATCAGAGTCAGATGGAACCAATAGCATTTCTGAGTCAACATTCCACTTTCCTTCTCCAATTTAGCTTCTCAGTGTCATTGTTGAGTCCTTTCTACTCTTTCTGGCAATGCGGTTACTGGGTTAAATTTTGTTCTGCCTGCACCATGCACAAATAGATGTCCTGCATCTTATTTCTTCTTTTCAGAAAGCCATGTAGTATTCTTCCATGGTGCTGACAATATCACTGTTTCTCTCCAGCAGGTTCAGGACATGATGCATCACCATTTCACTTAGATAAGGACTGTAGGTCTGGCGAACACAACACAAGATGTGAAGAAAATGGCAGCCCTTTTCAGCATCTGTAGAAATAAAGGTAAAATGCAGCCAGGGTGGAAAAGACCAGCATAGGTTTCCAGTTGCCTCATATCAGCTATCACAAATACAGATCAGTCACGTACACACAAATGCTGTTAGACAAGAGGAGGGCACAGGGGTTAGAGCAGAGGTCATGGACTTTAGAAGGAAGGGGATCAGGGAGCTGAGTCTGCAGTCCTTACATTGGCTAATGTTCCCATTAACTTCACTGAGAAGTGCCAGTGTTAGGGCTAAAAAATAATCACGAAAACATGTTATCGGTTAGACAAGACTGCCAGAGAAGGCAAGGAGCTCAAATACACGCGGGCACAGCCTGAACAATGGTAATGAATTTGGGACACCACTCTTTGAGTTGTAAATCTCCATCTACAGTCTCTCAAGCTATTCAGTCCCTCAGTCTGCAGCTCACTCAGAAGAGACCCAGTGGAAATTCTTGTCCACATTTGACTGGTCTGAGTTTTAAAGCTCCAATCTAAACCCAGCCAGTAGTGAATGTTTACCCAATGCTGACACCTTGTGGCCAAGGTGTTGCATTACACCTATTTTATACACCAGCAAAACAAATGAATAATTCTACATTTTACAGCCTCCTCAGGCAATTGCCTGAATAGAAGGTCACAGATTTTTGTGATCTTGGGTTTTAGTGACTTTCACATTCCATAAAGAGGAGTGAACTGAAAGGCTTTTTACCTACAAAGTTACAAAGTCTGGACTTCTCTTACAACAGTTCATAGATTCCAAGACCAGAAAGAATCACTGATCATCTAGTCTGACCTCCTGTACAACAAAGGCCATGGGACTTCCACAAAATAATTCCTAGTCTATAAAGATGCCCCTAACTCCTGAATAACATGACATTTGCTGTGCTGCCTTACGGCGAAAGCCTTCCCCTGTATTCAGCCTGGGTAAAGCCAGAGTAAGTGGGCTTTGCTCACCTGGTTCACATGATGCATGGAACAATGGCAGGAGAAGAGTCCCCCTTCCCAAGTGCAGAGCACTGCTTATGGCCTGCAGCAGTGTCTGTGGCTGCTGCATCCTACCCATGGAAGGGGGATTTGGCTGGAGGATCCATGAAGCAGGAGCTCTGCTAGCCATACCTGTAACACTTTCCCCACCCCATTTCATTATCTAGTGCTGCAGGATCACCGTGCCTCCCAAAAACTGAACTGAAGCAAGAAAGAGTCCAACAAGTGGAACAGATTTCTCCCTCTTCCTGGGGACATCAGGGGAAATAAGCATTAAAAGAGTGTGCGCGCGAGGTTCTGCTCTTCCTGCTATCTCAGTTGTAGCAGAAAAGATGAGGCTGGAGTACTGGGAAACTAACACTTAGTTGGGAAAGCTGTGAGGTCTGTGACTGTTCTTCCCACCTCTAGAAGGAAAGGCCATATAGGTCTTGAGCCACCTGCTGAGAAAGCTCAATTCCCTGCTCTCACAAGTGTGACCTGTGAGACTGACAGTTGCATAGCTGCTGTGCAAGATAAGATAGGCCTAAAAGAGAACCTCTTGCATGGAGCGTCTTAACTGGTTTCTTAAAATGGAGCGAACATTGTATGAGTGCACTACATGGAATACTGAGATAATGTGCTCTTGGTAGCTAGTGTTGCTAAAGAGATGGATTACTGCACTTTGGATCAGTTGGAGGTTTGTTTTAAGAAGGCCAGAGCACTCATTCCCAAATACAACATGCTACAATGGCCCAATTTAAGTCATGAAGGTATGACCCAGCTCATCATCCAACAGTAGGCAGAGGGAAGAGGACATTTTTGGCAGCCATTGGTCCTTGTATGTGCAGAAGCGTTGAGCAGCCCAGAATCACTCCTGACCATTTGAGGGCAGATTCCCTCTCTAGTGGGAGATGCTGAAATGATCTTCATAAAGTTACCCTCTTCCTTCTCACTTCTATCCACACACTGATCTCAGCCAAGCTCTGAGATAGGCAGACAACAACAGTACTATCACTGGCAGAGATGAGCGAGGTATAGAGCTGGCAGTCATTGCCCATCATCAACAATTGATACAGGGATGCCCCAGGTAATTTCATGTAGATATTTGGCAGCATGGGTGATAAAACAGAGCCCTCCCTGGTCCTGATTTCAACCTAGCAGATAAAACCAGGGAAGAAGCTGTCTTAGGAGCCCTCTGTTTTGTCATGCCTCTGGAGACAAATTCTAATGACAATTCTAGCTGCCTTTGGGCCATGCGGTCAGTCCCAAGCTGGCCTCTCAAAGGGTGTTTGTTGTGGACTTGGTCGTTTGCGACTGCACTTGTTCCAGACCAGGACTGTCTTTGAATTGTATTATAGAATAGTTTTACGGGAACCTCATTTAATCATATTCTAGGACTCATATAGTATAAGAGTTTATTCATTCAGGATGTTGGCTTATACTATAATAACTCACATCATATTTACAAACTGGTTGACTGACAGTTTATCTTAAAAGTTAGCAGAAAGATAACTGTAATTAGCTACCAAAGACTGAATAGACAAAGATTTCCTTTCTTGAAAGAAGCTGTGGGAATTTCTTTCAACTAGTAAGAGTTGTTGAGTTAGTGCCTTTCAATTATCTCACCTCAAAGTAGGTTTCCACAGTTCAAAGTGGTTTGTTTGGTTACCCACAACCACCAGAGGGCATATGAGAGCCAGCATAGTGCACAGTACCGCCTTTAGAGTCAACAACATTGACCACACATTATTTTATCCATTTTTTGTGGCCACAGGCTATTTCTGCTTTGATCTCCAAGAGAACTTCAGCCTTTCCAGTTGATTGCATGACAATTCTATATTTTCTGTGATCATATTAGACAAACAATCCTACAGAAAGCCAACAGAGTGATAGAAAACAGACCTGAAAATTGTGTCCTTTGCAATACAAAATAATTTACCACGATTCTGAGTCAAAGAAAAAAAATCAAATTAGCCACTGATCAGATTAAGCAGACGTATTTGTTCTGAGACAAGCATCCTGCAGCTGTAATTTCATCAAATCTGAAACTAAGCAGAATCACGCCTGGTCAGTATGCAGATGAGTGACCTGCCAGGAAAACTCAGGTTCTTCATGAAGCAGAGTTGGTATTTCACTAGTTGTCACTCCTTGCTTGGACGCAGGAGAGAAAGGATGGCGTTGTGGTTAAGGCACTGGAATGAGATTTAGGAGATCCTGGCTCTTCCACTGACTCTGTGATTCTGACCAAGTCACTTAATCTCTCTGTGCCTCGGCTCCCTGTCTGTTCAATGGGGCAGAATACCTCCTAGCCTCACAGGGGCGCTGTGGGGCGTTCAGATAGTAGTGTAGTAATGGGGAGGGGAGCAGGTGCTGCTGAGTAATAGATACCGAACCAAATGCCCCAAGATACCATTAGAAGCACTATGCTGTCTTCTGGATGAGATGAAAAATAGAGCCCCTAACAATTTATGGGATATTTGAACAGGTCTCTCAGAATTATTAATGAATTCCCGTAGCACCCAAAGTCGCATATCAGGATTGGGGCTCTAGTACACTAGGTGCAGTACATACACCCCCCACACCCCACACCCAAGGAAGACAGCTCTTGCCTTCAAAAAGTTTACATTCAAATTTAAGGCAAGACCGAAGAAGTGAGGGTAGGAGGTGGACAGTACAAGGTAGCTAGCCAGTGGAACTACAATACATACACAGTGAGATAATGTTACAATACATTTGGAAGTCTTTTTCTAAATAAAAATATCAGCTATTTCAATTGTCCCTCTGTCTAGTCATCCTTAGTTGGCAGATTACTTGTAGGCATCAGCAGAGATAGGCTACTAGCAGCACTAATGTTGGTGTCCAGGTACATCAGGCAACTATATTCAGACATGCCAAGTTACCCCAGTTATTCTTCTCATTCCCTCCTGGAAAAACTAGTTTAGTGCTGCTAGCACAGAATAGCTGACATGTTCTAGCTAGACAAGGTGGGGTGAGAAGAGCTCTGTGTAGCTTGAAAGCTTGAATCTTCCACCAAACAAAAGTTGGTCCAATAAAAGATATTACCTTACCTAGCTTGTCCCTCTCATCTGCTGGGACCAACCTGTCTACAACACTACAAACAGTGTTTGAGCAGTTTATACCATGCTGTTGTATACGGTGTCCACAAGTGGCTGCATTTCAGCGATGAGTGAATGATCCCCATGTGTCACATTCTGCCAAGGGTTTTGGAATGAGGGGGTAAAAAAAGCACTATAGCAAATGTACATTTATCATTAGGACAGGTACCTCAAATCAAACAAGTAATCGCTATGGCAATGACACACTGGATTTGGGAGAAAGGGGCAATTTTAAAGGCACATGGTCTGCTAAGAAATTACTATGTGTGGTCCCTATGCATAGGGACCACACATTGTCTATCCATCACTTAAAGCCTATGGTCTATGGATGAAATCCTGGCTCCACTGTAGTCAATAGGAGTTTTTCTCTTGACTTTAGTGGAGTCCGGATTTCACCCTATGGTCTTAAATGGGGCGTGGGCCCACGGCATAGGGATCAATTTCACCTAAAAATTTCCTAAAAATCTACTCCTTAGAGAAGGCAGCTCAGTCCACACTATCCCTTTTGTGACATCTCCCATACTGACACAGCTGACGAAGTTTGCCTATTTATTCAGCAGTGTAAAGCTACCAACCACTAGGGGCTGACCTAGCCCCATTTAACTCTGTTCCTTCTGAAACCTAAATCCTCCACCGGATTCAGATTCAAGTCTCCAGCATTCACAGTGAAAA